GGAAAAGTGGGAGGTCTCGCAAGCTGCCTGCTTACCTGAAGGACTATACGTCTGTGTGAAGTGATGTGATGTGATGTGCGTAATCTACGGTGTCATGTAGTCTTTTATTTTGGCCTTTAATAACTGAGGACAGTTAAAGGCCCAGTATGGCCGAGTTTTAAAATCACATACAGCAGTGAGTCTCATTTTTCATTTGTGAATGTGTTCCGACCCCGTGGCCGTGAAGAACGGGACTGCAACCCAGGCCACTCCGACGGGGGGCCAGCTGTGTTTATACCACTGGCAAGGAGGAGTGCTCAGACAGGAGGGGAGGACGATCGTTTGCCGAGCGTCTGCTGCTGCGGGGGCCTCGACCATCCCGGGCTTTGGGCATTGCCCGGGAGGGGGAAAGAGGACACTCAGGTTCCAGGCACCGATAAAAGACGTTCGCGTCTGAAATCTTTCAGTGTACTCTTCGTCATTGTTTTAACCTTATCTAACCGTAATAAAGTCTCTTTTATTCGTTACTTTAAAAATGGTGACTTCTTAGACCATCAAGTTAACAAATATGTGAAAGTAACTGTCGGTGCCGGTCGTTTCAGTATTGCTGAGCGACGTGGAAACTCAGTGTGAAAGCAACAGAAAGTTTCCTCCAAAAATTTCCTCCAACGAGGTGAGTGACTCCTTGAAAGGGCTGTAGGACGCTCGTATAAAACAGGCCATTGTAATTTAATTCTCGTGCTTACCAGAGCGATTCGCAAAACTTATTTAAAATTTGAGACTTTCTTTGGTTATACTACCCTTACAAGTACAAAGAAGTCCATTGGTAAGTGTGCTGTGAGTTGGTTTTCATATGTCCAGAAACTAGGCAAAGTTTATATTGTATAATCTTTATGTGCTGATAAGTTTAGAATGAATTACCGGTACATGTGTCAAGGCATGGCACAGTCAGAGTTTATTTGAAGAAAGGGGGGGTGGGGGGGGAGGAGAGGAAGAGGAGGGATTATGTTGAGTCGTTCAAATTGTTAACTCTGGCAGTTATGAGGCAAGAAGGATAACTGCTAGTAACAGCGGTTTGGTTTTGTGCCATACTCAAAATCTGTTTTGCGGTGTATATATTGCTGCAATATTTTTTCTCCTACAAAACTAATTTTAAGGCATGCTGTTGACAAATAGGACCTCTCTTTTCAACCCCAATACAGGTACATGATGCTGGTAGACTTCTTGCACATAGTTTGGCTTCAAAGATGAACTAGACTTTATGCCTTACTTATAGGTGTGCATTGGTAATGGCATATAGGTCAACAAGACTACATGCAAGAAAGTTCTCAAACAGAAGAAGGAATGAATGTTCACTGGGAAGGTTCAATTATGATCTTCAGAACAGAGAGCCTCCTTGGCCTAAGTGCAACCGGCAGACCTTCAAACCCCACAAAGGCGTTTGCTAAGCCAAACTGGATGCAGCGAAACTAAAAGCTCTTGTCGGTAGGCCATGTCCATTTTCCTTCAAAAGGTCTGGGTATATTTGGCTTGCAGTCTGATTAAGGTGCACGAAGTAAATCTAATTGATAGCAGTGATTTAACCAAAATATGCTGGGTACTTTACATGATATGCCTAAGAAGATTATCCAAGCAGAGAAGAGAACACTGGGGAGATCCATAAAAGTTACTGGGAGTGAAGCCTCTCAGTGAAACAATTATCGATTGCTCTCCAAACCTGTCGTGGCTTTCCTAGTTCGCATTGTATTCAATATGATACTGTAAAAACCCTAACTTTCATGAGGTCTGAATTAACGCCTCCTTAGGCGTCTTGAATTTGCAAAATGTCCTGCTTGCCAGATTTGTGAAAAATTGGAGCCACAAGAATAAAGGGTTTTACAGTATAGCTAAGCAAGCACACAATTTTTTTTCAAATAAAATAGGTTAATATGGACACCGTGACTGATTGATGTAAGCTTTCTGAAATTCAAAATGTTTATATAGATGCCTGTGAGGTCTTCGACTGACAATGCTTACAAAAATTCCGTCTTTTCATTCCTGGGGGGGCTAAAAGAAGCACCTGGAAAATAACAGTTCTCCATTTTCTATATTAAGTTTTTACGAGCCTTCTACATTAAGGTTAATTGCCCCTGGCACAAAGAGACTTCGAAAAGTTTGCATTGCACTTGTTTAGCAAATGTCTCACGATGAACCTACTGCCAGTAAGAATTAGTCTGAAGTGACGGCAGAAATGTATTTCATGAACTGCTCGCATGAGAACCGAATATTTTTTGAACTCCCAAGTTTTTTCGACAACTACCTACAACAACAACGCACACCCAGGGGCAAAGAACTATGGAAAGATAAGCTGCTCGGACTTCAAAAAATGTTTAGAAAGCACCTGTCACAGAATTTGATTGACGTTACCCGTGAGCACAATCAAAACAACCTTTTGAACACAGGGTCAACTTCCAGCCACATCTCATAAACATTTAGTTCCCAAGTCACTAAGCATGACTTTCGATGATCATGAAGCTGTGCGCAAGTATTTTTATTATCCTCGTCTTTCATTTTCGTCTATGTAAAGTTTGACGGCGGTTGAAAACGTCATGCACAAGAATCCTATGTAAGTACATTGCGTTTTTGCAACGCTTTGCTTAGAAACTTGACAATATTGTTGTAGATATAAAAAATTGTAACCAGACACAGTTCAGCAAAAACCATGGCACTGTTAATTTCTTTTTTCTTTCAAAAATCATTTTTTTCTTTTTGTGTCAACGTTGTCAGTTCAAACCAAAACCTGTAAAATGTTCCATATCTGTTGAAAATAGTCATTTTAATTTTAGATGTCTAGTCAATTTATTTCCGACAGAGTTGAACGGTGTTAAATATTTTTTTAATATACAACTTTCGTCATTTTTATGGCAAATGAGTTGTGCCATGTTCAATTGCTTTTTAAAGTACAGGTTTAGTTGACAGTTAGTTTTGGTAAATTTCTTGCCACAAATTTTGTGCACTAATAAAGGTTGCCAAAACTCTATATTCCATTAAATTTTGTCATTTTTATGTCAAAGGAGTTGTATAATCTTGAGTCCGGTTCAAAATAATGCTTTAGTTTCTCATTTTAAAGTTAAAGTCACTTGCAAGCCAAGTGTGCATGGCCAGTTTTTATTAAAAATAATATTTTAGGAGTTGCAGTTAGCGTTCCACGCTCTACCTGCCGAACATGCAAAAAAGTGTATTCTCATTACCGTATTTTCCGGTGTATAAGTTACGATTTTTTTTTCAAACATTTTTCTTGGTGCGTCTTATACAATAATGTGACTTATACGCATTTTTAAGAAAAAAAATCACTGTGCAACGCCATTTTTTTATGTGCCACACGCCGTCTTTTGTAGAGCCCTCTGAATGTAGCCATTGGTGGTACTGCCCCCTCCAGGAGGCGCTGCTGTCGCCACACTCTTTTAGACTTTTCATAACTGACTCGGAAAGCGAGAAATCTTATGGTTTCTCCGAAGCGGCTCAATGTGGATAGGCAGGAGAGTGAAAATAAAGCTTCTGCGGCATGTTATCCACGTTGCCTAATTCAGCTACGGTTCAGTATTCTTTTGCTTCAGTCCAGTAACACTAAAAAGGTAAGTGGGCTGGTATACATGCATTGCAGAATATTTTCTCGCGTCTTTCTTAGCTCTTGGTCGACAAGCAGTTTTGTTCTGCCATGCTCCCGCCGTGTTGCTACGCGTAAAAGGAAGGATTGTGCCTAGCCTATCTTTTGGAGGCACTGAAAAAAATTATGTCAAGGTTTATCTTTCGGCCTTCGCATCGATGCTCGCATCATCTCCGGGACTTGGCCTAGGTTAGGCCTAGCGGTCGAAAGCTTGGTTTACGAGTGTCTATTTCGTTAAACTTTCGTTCGCTCAAGTAGAACCGACTACCTTCTCATTTTGCGCATTTTATGCCCGTTTGCTGCGAAACACTCGATCGCCGCCGCCAGACAGCGCTGTGCTATGGGCATTTCTTGCGAGTCAAACCGTCAAAGTTACGCTTTGAGCGGTACGTGTGGTTTAGCCGATTGTGTGCAACTGGCGAAACTTAAATTTCGTGATACCGATGCACATAAACTAAAAAACTCATCGCATGAACTGTGTAGAGAGATGCAACTTATGTATCAACTTTTCCACAAAAACGGCTCAACATACGGATGTGCGACTTATACGAGGGTGCGACTTATAGTCCGGAAAATACAGTATATGCCTGATTTCATGTTTCAAACAGTTACTGATTTGTTAACTTAGGGGCTCAAATAAAATATTCAAGATTAGCTATGTTTATTACCCTCCTCTGAAATGGACACTGAATGTCCCTAAAAAATTGCACACTTAATAATATCATTAATTAGTCAACTGCACCAAACCCTCACTAGCTTAAAAGAAATGGAAACATGTTCACAACATTCTTCATCAGTCATTCCAAGCTTGATTAGGTTTTGGGTCAACTGTCCACACATTTCGATTGTCATCTTCCAAGATGGACATTGTTGATTCTGCAGGAAGATGAAGCAATCCCCAATCTCGAGTGTGATATCCATACTATTCTTTAAAGACCAGGAATTGGTGCACTGGCCCCATCATTATAAATAGAGGTCAACAAGTGTTTGGTCCTCTTTTCATTCTATTCATGAACCAGTATGCAAAAAGCCTCTAATGGTCTAAACAGTGATCTCAAACTCATTTGAGTGTGGGGGCCAGATAGCCCACACCAGAAAGGCCGAGGGCCAACATAAGACGGGAGGGGGGGAGGGAGGTGTTAGAAGATTTTAATGAGAAGAGACCTCGTGCCCTATGCTTTTTGTAAACTCACAGTTTTGCCTGTGACATCTTTAAATTTGATTAGTTTATATGACTACTTTATGCCGTGACCTGATGTGATAACAGAAATTAGAATTACACTGCCCTACCATTTTTAATAAAACAAGAGAGCACATATTCCGTCGTTTACGGCTCAACATGTCTTTAAAAAATAACATTTTAATTTGACAGTTGTTAAATGCCTCGCAATTTTTTATTATAACACTCTGATGCCTTTTAATGGTGATAATTTTTGAAGGTGAGGATCCCGAGCTCATAGCTTTATCTTTGGCACTTGCTCCTGCTAAGCGACAGTTTGCACAGCCGACATGCATCCTTTAACGAGTAGCTCAGGGTTGCAGACTAGTAGTGGAATTGTTGTACGTTACAAAAAGCTGGAAAGCAAGAAATAAAGCAAAACAAAGGGCAAATGAAGACAGAGAACTATAAATTATGCACATACGTTAAAATAGCAGAGCTACTTTTTGAGCGAAAATGAATCCACGAGATTAGATTACTATGACATATCATTCCTAGAGCTCGAGACATGGAAACTGGGACTTGCAACCGGTTAACTGCGGGCCGCTTCTCAGCGAGTCACAAACATTTTTTTTGAGACCCCTGGTCTATAGCAACCAATAGTCCACCGGATCTCTATTGTTTTCTATAGACCAATAGGTGTATCTTGGTTCCTAGAGACCAACAGACCTGTATTGGTTCCTCTAGACCAATAGGCCTCTATTGATTATGACCAATAGGTCTTCATTGGTTTCAATAGGATTCTATTGGATGACATTCCTACTGGACCATAACCTGATACACCCAATACAGATAGAAACCTCTGGAATTTTCGCTAGGAAAGGCAAAACCATTTAAAAAATGTACCGGGACACTGCTGGAATTTGTGATGCTTATTGCGCATAAGCGCCTCAGTGTGGTGAGCTTAACTATTAATCTGAGCAAAGATTTTCGGAACCTACTTTTCACTTGGGTATATGAATAGTTTGATTGAAATGGGATGAAGTCCTGCACATGTTAAATGATTACACACAGCTAGGACAGGCTCAACATATGGGTCAGCAACAATGCATTCCGCAGGTGTACACCTGGTTCTGGCGGATAAACTCCTATTCTGAGCAAAGCTTCTGGGGCATTGCTTGTACTTGTAAGGTTTTTAAACACTATGTATTCGATAATGGTTGATCAGACTGGTATTATGAGAAAAGGCTTGGGGGCACTGCTTGCACTTAAATGGCTTTTCACCTGTGTGCGTTCGATTATGGCTTTGCAGATTGGAACTTTGAGCAAAGGTTTTGGGGCACTGTTTGCACTTAAATGGCTTTTCACCAGTATGCGTTCGATTATGCTTTATCAGATAGGAATTTTGAGCAAAGGCTTGGGGGCACTGCTTACACTTAAAAGGCTTTTCATCACTGTGTGTTCGATTGTGGCGGATTAGATTGGAGTTCTGAGCAAAGGCTTGGTTGCACAGCTTGCACTTAAATGGCTTTTCACCACTGTGTGTTCGATTATGGCGAACCAGACAGGTATTCTGACCAAAAGCTTGGGGGCACAGCTTGCATTTGTATCGCTTTTCACCTGAGTGGGTGTGATTGTGGTAAATCAGACTGCCACTTTGAGCAAAGGCTTTGGGGCAGAGCTTGCACTTAAATGGCTTTTCACCAGTGTGTATTCGATTATGGCTTTGTAGATGAGAATTTTGAGCAAAGGCTCGGGGGCAAAACATGCACTCAAATAACTTATCACTTTTGCACTTTTGAGTGTTGCTGAGCACTTGGGACCTAGAGCTAGATGTGGGAAGATGCTGGCACTTGAATTGTTCATCTTCATGGGCAAGCAGGTGGCTCACAATTCTACGCTGATCTCTGGTGGCATAAATGCAGGAACAGCATCCGAACCAAATGTCTTCGGTGACTTTCAGTGCGCTGTTGGTCTCCCCCAACAATGCTGCTCCATCACCTAGAAGAAAAGAACATGCATATTATGACATGAAAAAAAGCTCAACCACTTAGTTTGGAAAAGAGTAGTTATCAATGCAGTTTTGCTGCAGCTGAGCACTTTAGCATGTTGTTGCACTTTGGAATTCGGTTCATGGAAGCACTCAAATGCAACTAGCACCATTAAGTGTAGTCCCTAGTCTTTAATAGGGTAAATCCTAGAAAAACAATATTACGCATTCTATTTTCATCATCTCTAAATTACACTTCACATACCTTCTCACCTTAGAAAGCTTTCCTGCTTTCTTAGGATTTTTTTTGTCACAAAAAAATGTTTTCATCACAGTGCATGATGTGGAAAAGAGCTCAGAAAATGCAGACTATGAAAAAGAACAAACACGAGAGGATAATGCTGTACTCGCAACTAAGGAATTTCGATAGAGGAAACAGATAAAGAAAAACACACTCAGTATCTTAAAAGATTGCACACAAAAAAGGGCAACACTCACCAACCGAAAAGAGTGTTCGTAATTTACATTTCTTACCCGTTAACTACGTGGCTCATTTTTTTCCGCAGGAAGGATATCTCTTCCTGAGAGTGCTAATGAAGGTTCACTAACACACGAATGCCCATAACACAGAATCTGGAAGGCCCTAAAATCAGGGGTGGAACTCCTGAAATGTACTTGGGAGCAGCCACGGGAGCAGCTCAAACAGCTGTTTTGGAGCAGGTTGGGAGCAGCTAAAACTATGTTCTGGAGCAGGCTAGGAGCAGCTCAGATCAGTTTTCATTGCACTTTAGCTTGTGTCTTAGACAAGCACGGGGGCAATTTCAACTGTGCTTAGCAGCACAGATAAACATGAGTCGTTAGGGACCTAGGCAGATGGGATAACAGTGTAACAGGTGCGAAAACTTGGAACTTTGTGAGCCTTGATATTTTCTGAAAGGCTTTCTGCTGCTCAAAATGCAAACCAGCACTGCTTATTGCACAGCACACACGTGCTCGATAGTGATTATATGTGCGAACCACGTGACATGCGCAAGCAACGGACGTGCAGTTGCGCAGAGGAACAGGGTAAAAAATTTAGAGTTTCTCATATTGTGCAACTCAAAATCGCAACAAAATTCGGGTTTATCCTATTGTGCAACTAAATATGAAAGCAGCAGACTATGATTAACGAAGTTATCGTATTCGAAGCGATAAGCAGGAGCAAGGTTAAAGTACGCCGAGCAGATCTACCACTCGCATGAGAGCTGCTGGCCGGCAAAGTTTCGGATCGGACCGCGTTTCAGTTCAGTCAAATCACGATTTATCTTGTGGGAATGCATTTCCAACTTCTAACAATGAAGTGGTAAAAGGAATCGTTTGCTCATTTGTTTTCAACTGACTGACGTCCGGATCCCGGGCCGCAGAGCCTCAGTCAATCTGACGCTTAACGACTTGACCTCACCTTGGCCGACTTGCTTAACCGCTGATGGTTGAAGAATAACAATCCAGTGGCAGGTAGTGTAGCGCTTGGAATCCGACACCCGAGTTTTTTTCGCACACTTCCGACTCGGGATACACAGGGAGAATAAAAAGAATAAAGCAAAGCCGACAAAGCTAAACGCGATCATTGTTGCCAATCGAGTCAATAGAAACCGAAACCAAAACAAAATACAACTTGTTTTGGCGCACGTTTTGCGATTTGGTGCATAATGGTGCGAGGTATTGGCTGTGGCGCAGTTTCCGAAACATGGCGTAGGATGGCACAGACAAATGCGTCTGGCGCAAAATGGCACAAATGGCGCAGCCGTTCCACCCCTGAAAATGTACCAAGGTGCACAGAAAATGTTTCTGTCGCTTGTGCTTTGTGTATAGTGTATAAGATCCCTTTGTTGTATGTTTCCTTGAATGATAGATTAAGTTGGGACACTGGCTAGAGATTTAACTTCTGAATTATTCAAATTGATCAAAATGAAATTTTCAGGGGAGGCTTGACATCAGTTGTAAGTGTATTGTGGAAACTTCCAACTCTCTAGGACAATTTTACATACCTGCATAAGATGTGTCACTCTTCAGTAAAAAAATCTATAATATGCAAATGAAGCTATTAAGCACCATTTTGACAGCTTGAATATAAAGAGGGGGATGTGGGATCTAGTTTCAAACTCAAATGTGAGGAAGAGTTATTACCTAAAAAAATTAGATGCATATCTGTCAAATGTCAATTTTTTTAAAGTAGATAGCCCAATTCCCCAGTAAATTTCAGTTCAGAAATGTCTCGATTGTGATATCAGAATACTTTTACCTTCAAACAAAAGATATGTTTGTGTGAAATTGCAGCAAAAGGTGGAACTGGGAAAAATGCATTGAACATTGAACTCCTTTACTTTGTTATCGCCTCACAATGTGCTGAAAATATTTTATTGAACGTAAGTATCTTGCGTATGGTTATCGAATTCAGTGTAAGGGTGTATAATTAGTCCCTAAAGCCAAGAACCTAAATATATAAAAATGATCTTTTAAAAATATATTGGAAATTTAGGTCCATGGCCCCACTTACGAAAACATTCATATTTGCTCAAAGCCATGGTTGGGGGGCTTTTGCCAGCTCATTGCAGAGATAGCAAATGTCGGCCTTATTTTGGCAGGGTCACCATTCTGGGCATACGCAGGGACAGCATGACGAGAGATTATAGAGGCCTTCCACACTGCATGCCATGGGCATTCATGTGTTAGTGAACTTTCGTTGGCGCTGTCAGGAAGAGATGTCCTTCCTGCGGGAAAAAATGAGTCACACAGTGAACGGGTAAGAAATGTAGAGTATTGACACGCTCTCAGTTGGCTAGTGCGGCCCTTTGTTATTGTGCAATCTTTTAAAGTGTTGGTGCAACGATTTTCAGACTTTAGCCAGTTAAACTGTGGAAATCAATGTGTCACGTATGGAACGAGCAACAAAAAACCGTATTTTCTTCGAGCTCTAGTTTTTATTTAAAAAATGAAACAAACCGAAGGTCAAAGTGCCTTTCAACTCTCCCAGTTGCCTTTCGAGTGACGTACTCTGTGGGATCATGTGGTCTCCCCTTGGGTCCTTTTTTCAGAAACCTCAGCCACTTCCTCTGCGATATTTGACTTTTAAAGGATTAGCATCGTCGAAGGTCGCGGCAAATGATCGACATGAAAGACGGTCTGCCATGAGACTGACGGCGATGTGTAGCAGCAGAGGGGGACAGGTTTTTGCTGACTTCCGCGTATCCCCCAGAGACGCTGTCACCATAGCTCCCGTAACCGACGCACGGCTGCAGATCGGCAAATAATTATTTTTTTTTTCTCTTTGCGATTACGCAGTAGAATAGCAGTTTCTCAGGGTGTTTTTGGTCATTCTGCTTGAATAAACAATATAAAAAATACAAACTGCAAATTCTTTCAACATTAAAATTGTTGCACTACCTTTTTAAGATACTGTGTATGTTTTTTTATCTGTTTCCCCTATTACAATTCTTCAGTTGCGAGCGAGTACAGCACTGTCCTGTTGTGTTTGTTCCTGTTCGTAGTCCACATTTTTTTAGCTGTTTTTGCCATCATGTGTAATGTCAACCAACTGGCCCAGTTCATTACTTCATTACCATGCAATTCTGCATCGTGAATATTAAAGCCACAGTCCAGACTACGGAGAGCCAGTTTTGGGAACAAACCGGGTAAGTACATGCAGGTTTGTGACATTATCATGGACACAAGAGGTCCAATAACACAAAAAAAAAGAAGATAAGCTGAGACCTTGGGTTACAGAGTCCACCGAAACTTTCACTACTGTCTGCCGTTGATTGCCCTTCCTTCAAAAGGCAGAAGACCTGGGCACCGAACAATGGTTCAATTTATCGAGGCTTTCCAGCCAAATGTGTAAGCTTTCCTTCTCTCCTTATGCGTGGGTTTTGCTGAAGAAAATGGAGGGTGGATTATAGTAAAATAGATGCAACAGATAGGAGGCTAGAGTGCTGGTGAAAATTATCTACGAAAAATTGAATAAACAGCAACTAAGTGGCACAGCTGGTTGACAGGACGAAAATTGGGACTCCTCCTCTGGCTCTTGCCCAAGGTCTCAACCCTGTACCCTAGTGGGTCTGGTGTTAGGGTGATGCCAACAGAAAAATGGCGGCTCCCTCGACGGGGAAAAGAGGAAGGGGGGTGCGGGTTATTAGTTTTTTTTCCCCAACCTTTTAAAAGGGCACCGAAACCCCCCCCCCCCCAAAAAAAAAAAATAAGTGATTTAAAGTTCAGGAGACTACCCAATCAATATTTTCCTGCAAAGTCACATATATCTTTAATAAAGCCAAAAACCTCAACTGCTCGAGAACGACACACAAGCATGGAAGCTCATAGCCAGAAGTCATATGGACTCTTTTTTAAAAGCATGAAACGCTTTATGCGTTAATGCGTCCAAAGCATGAAATGCTTTGTGCGTCCATTCGTGCACTCTTTGCTAAATTTAGCAGAGAAATTGATTGCACAAGACCTATACACAAACTCAGTTCTTAGGCTAAATTTATCCGGAAAATTTATGTCACGGGACCTGACGTCGCGGCACATAGACATATTCAGTTCCCCCTAAATTTAGCGGGAAATTGATGTGACGTGACCAATACACCAATTCAGTTACCCGCTAAATCTAGCGGGGAAAACCCACGTCACGTAGCACCAATTCCCTATAATGCATTTCATTATCGCTGTCAAATTTTTCTCTCTCTCTCTGCTTTTTTGGTGTGTGGTCCAGACAACGACAACAACGAAGTACCGTTTGTCGTGTGATTGTTTTCCATTTTAATATCTTGCACTCAATGTTGTGCGCTTGAAGATAGATTGTCTGGTACCATAAACAACAGTTCCCAAGTAGTGGCCCTGCGTCCGTCGCAATGTTGGTCTGTTGTGCGCCGCCATTGCGTCGTCTCGCCCACACCATATTGAGAATAACGTCTACACAGACTTGCTGCGATCTGTGCAACTTTTTTTTTTTTTTTTTTGGAGGAATATATTTGTAGCTTTTTGAAGGCCACAAAAATGGGGTTCATATTCGTGAAAAAGAGAGTGAGCGCGATTGAAACCGGCCTATTCTTGACCGGCAGTTTTCGGGCGGAAAGAAAACGAATTTCAAGCTACAAGTCGTGGTGTGGGTTGTTGGGCCCTTATATGTCATGTTCTAATTAAAAACCTCGATGAGCATAAATACCCTGCCAGTGTTCCCTTAAAGGTCACCCCGGCGTTCACCCCCACGGCCCGGTGATATTTACAGAAATGCATTGGTTTAAAAGGGGAGGAATTGCGTTTTTTTGTTTTTAGGCTAGGTGGTGCAAGCTAATGCCCGTTATAGAGGGTACAGCCATTAATATCCATCTTTTCATCCACCCAGAGTTTGAGCAGCAGCCATCTATGCTTTGTCCACCCTTAAGGTTCACCCAGAAAAAACAATTTCTGCAAAAAAGGTGCGCGACCATGCACACCTTTTTTGGGGGTTTTAGACTCTACTAAGGACACCTCCTTGGCGGAGCATCTCCGAAATAGCAAGGACTCCTAGGAATCCAGACAGCTGTACATCTAGACTACGATTGGCCATAGTCTAGACACCGCCACCGCCCAATGTTTATAAAAGAGGGAGGAAAGGATGCACTTACCGTTACTTGAAGGCTGACTCGGTTCCATACGAATTCTGGGATGTGGTCAGGCTCCAAGGACACTCGCCAAATGCTGTCTCATTGAGGCCAAGCTGTCTTCCACAAGGCTCTCGTAACTGTAATTGTGTTGCGTGTTTAGACAGCGGGCGGTTAGTGGGCCCCAATGGGCATCTTGCATCTCCACAGTAAATAAGAAATTCTGCCAGTGCAGTACGACCGCTAGCCTGGGTCCCTAAAGAAGCTATGCAACAATGCTTCGACTTTGGTCAAATAACTGTGGTAGTTGTTCCCCGTCACGTCTGGATGAAAGAACTAAAAACAAATTTTGCCTAGTCGCCATGTTAGTTCTTTAGAGAAAAAAAAAGTAAAACGATTGACGTTTTGGCTGCCTCCAAACTACCCTCAACTCGTACACCTTCCGAGTCACTTAAAGGGACAATGAAGGCAATTTCGGACATCTTTTTGGCGATTGAATTGAGTTCCAGGCACGTCTCAGGCTACGTTGCCCAAATTTCAGCCGAAACCGGCGCTTGTGTGCCGCGCAAATCAATTAAACAGTCGCGGTAATAATCGTACCGGAATCGACTGGGGCGATGCCCCGAGAGTTGCGGGAGAAGCCAGGAGAAGCGGAGCTCACGTGACCGATGCGAGGCCAAGAAGCGAGACGTCACAAGAGACGCCTCATCGATTGGTCGAAACGAGAGACGCGCCCTCGGTCACGTTTTGGTTCTCGGTTTTTAGGAATACTGTTCTAATTTCCGCTTGAATAACCATGAAAAGTATAAATCGGACCGGAAAGGATTACTAACCCGTAAATAAAGCGGCATAATTGTTTTTTTCTTTGCTACGCTGCACGCGAAACGGCCAACGAGCAACTATGGGCACTTCGGCATGCGGGCCGCTCGTTACCGTCGTTACCGGCTGGGCGGTCTCCCTCGAGTGACGGCGGAGGCCGCCACACACGTACTCCCGTTCCGTGTGTGTTGGGTTACTGAACGGAAGCTAGAACTCGCTCGCGAGAGCGGCATTGCCGTCCATGTTGACAGATTCGACGAAACGACCGCGCCGCTATAACCCACCGCGGTAACCAAATCTCGATCTCCTAAATACTACCGATACCGACTATTCACACTTGACGTCACTCCTGCGTCACCTCCGTTTTTGGAGGCCCAGAAACGAAAATGGAGATTGTTCAGTTTCGGTTTCTTTACTTCTTTCGTAGGCACAAAAATATGCGTCACAAATGGCTACAAAAAATTGGGCAGCATGTGATGTTCCCAACAAGCATAAAAACACCATTTAAAAAAATTAAATAAAATCGTCTTCATTGTCCCTTTAAAGGGGCCCTGAAAAGAAAAAAACCGTTTCTTTTAAATAGTCTGGTCGGGACACGTGTGTCAAGAAATAAATTTTACGCTAAAATTTTCTTTTTAGAGCAATATGGACGGCGAGATTTATTTGAAATTCTGCGTGCAGAGTCTATGATGTCACGGAATGGTCATTCGCTCAAAGGGATGGTAATTCGCTCTATCCACCTCAACGTGAAGGTGAAGCTGATCCACGCCTCCTCCACGCGCCCGAAATGCAGAGAGAGAAAACAAGTGGAAAGGAGGTGACTACCGACCAAATCGCGTCTCGCGCCGTCAATCATGCTCTAGAAAATTTTTTTTTTTTTTCGAGTAAAATAATTTTTTGACTTGTGTGTCCCAACCAGACTGTTTAAAAAAAAAATATTTTTCCTTTCAAGGTTTTTTTCAAGTCATGTATGCAGGGACGTGTAATGCAAATAGGGAGCATCTCGATGGGTTCTCTTTCAGAGCCTCCAACGCGGTTTCCGCTTGCGATTCACATAGGCGACCTTGAAGGTTGGTCTAAGCGATGTGGAGGGGGGGGGGGAGAGGGAGGGGAGAGAGGGAGTAAAGTTTGCGTTTCCGTAAGGAAGTTCAACTAACGTAGTAGCACAACGAGGTGAGGCTCACGGGAGAAATAGTTTCTTCACCTTGGGCAGATGGCGCCACTATAAAACAACGTTGTCGACGATATGAGGTTTTTGATAGATTTACTCAATATAGCATTAGGTTGAGCACTTAATGGCACATCTTACCAACTTATTACATTGTACCCATTGCGCGTCACGCCTTAATTCGCGGCTGCAAATCGCAAAATACTCCGTTCTTTTTTTTTTTTTTGCTATTTCGCAGCGGAATCATGCTATTTCAAAAGACTGAGGCGATTCCTCCATTCATCCTGGTAAGGTAAACAAAAGTAAAAACTTGAAACTGCAAAATTTTTTTGACGCTAAAATTGTTGCATTGCCTTTTTAACGTGCATCAGGCGGTGGCGACACACGACCGCGCGCCTGTACAATGCTCATCCAGATCAAAACTGGCAGGGGCACGGATTAAACATCAGATCCCTGGGTTCTGCAGCATGAGCTTCCATCCACGTCATCAGAGCTGCAGCGTGTTAACACGTCTGGTCACCGACCCCCCTCCACTCTTGAAACCGAGTTTAGAACCAGTGGATGAGGAATATTTTTTGCCAAGCTGAAAGTAAGCAACAAACACACACAAAAAAAGAATCAGATGTGCAACTCACTGGAAAGTAAACAGAGACATACCAGTCGGAGTAATGTTGTCGTCCTAGGTAAATTTAATGCAATATCTGCTGTCGAGTTAGGTTTGCTAGCTACTGGTTTGTCCTCCTTGCAAATGCTTCAAGCGCTGCTGAACCCTTTCTACGGTACAAGCATGTAGTTCACTATGGAGTGACATGACTTTTGACAGTTGAGTGCTCAACATCTATGAGACCTTATCGTTGCAGCTATAGACCTATTTCACAAGGGTGCCACCATCTTGAAATATTGTCAGTTCCAGTATCGGCAAAAACATTGTTTTGACGTTGCTATGCCAATCGAATACATTTAGTACATAAGCGTAACCATCACCTATTCTCGTTTTGTCTCACCTTTATTTTTTAACGATTTGCAGGTTCAAGTATTTTATTTTCTCGTTGCCCATTCCGGATATGCAGTTGAGCGTAGCGTAGCTTCGACAGTGCAGCAACTATGCAGCGTTGCGTGAGCCCGTAGCTTCCTCTTGCATGCGCAACCAGCTTTGAAAGAATCGGAACAATGCGGAAGTTATGCTGGCCTTGACAACGCAGCACAAGCCAGGTATTGTTTGTTCCTTCAACCCTTATATAAAGGGTTCTGTCCGCACAAACATTTTAGCTGTGTTTGAGACATTCTCTTTTTCTTCTCTTGGTGTGTTTTCCTATTCCCTTACCCAAGCATTAAAGAGAATACTGGGAATGCATGTCAACGCGCTGCATGCACTTGCCTTCCCCGTATAAAAGATTTGAAGTAAATAATCATAATAAGGCATTGACAAACGTGGGTACAAGGTAATATATGTTTTAGGCTTTTGCATTAAAACAGCCATTGCTGCAGATGCCAGCATGTGCAGTGCGTGTAACTACACTCGTAGCAAGCTCCTTGGTGCCTGGGTAGTTAAGCAAAAGGTCTATTGTGGCAATATACGGGGCTTGCACGTGACATCATCGTTGGTGGTCATGCGCTCAGTGGCAAGGACACCACAATGGCAGCTACGACGTCAATGCAAGCCGTGCACATGGCGATACTAATAATAGCAATAAACAATTGCATGTCCGGTAGACTTCAAATTCTTAGTATTTGGTTTACATGCTGTCACTGCCTGCATCCAGAAAAGTATTTGCTAGGCCCAGGAAAACAGCCATGGGTTTCAACGACCGAAGTCATTTGCAGCCTTCATTTTTAGCGAGAAGACAACAAGAGAGACGTCAGTTTAAGGACATCCGAGAAGTCGGATGCCGTGCCACCTGGCCGACCACATTAAGCAAGCCCAAAATCGGCGGCAAATGCCGTACTTCGACTGCAGGCAGAAATTGTCAGGATTTTACTGCGAGACTCTTTAAAAATAATTGGAATACGAGTGCTTGGTTTTTACGACTTCGGGCGATGGAGCTTACACGCACACCGTTTATTAATCCTCTCACCGTGTTAAACAGCCTTTGAAATGAGGGAGAGGAGAAATAAAGCCGCGAAAAATCGACGATAAACCCGTTGTGCGATTTCACTCGCAAAGTTGCTCATGCGGCAAAAAAAGCATGGTGGAGGCTGCGGTGCTCAAAAACCGCAGCTGCGGATTGGACTTCAATCAGCTAAAGCCACGGAGGGGAGCAGAGTAGCTTGAAGTTTATTTATAAGCTATCACCTTATGATCCCGCTTCTAGTTAATGTCATCCACAAGACGTACTAACAAAGGTTCAACAAGGCAAAAAGTTGGGCGAGTCTGTTGATCATCAGTGGTGTCACTGGGGGGGGAAGGGGGGGGGGGGGGGCACCACCGCGGGTGCAGCCACCACCACCTACATAATCTCCGTTTCATGATAATTTGGCGAACTGTGGAGGCTAGGGCCCTGTGACCCAAAAAGAGTGTCGGAGCGGCTGTCGTCAGCTAGCCAACAGTCGTCTGCTCTGAAGGGTAAAGCTATATGCACGAGCTCGAGCACCACAACAGGAAATGGCTATACGCACGACGCAAAACTCATACAAAAATAATGGTTACAATGAGTTTCCAAAGCGGTAGCGTAGCTTAGTCGTAAGGTGTCCGCTTCATACGCAGCAGAGCCCGTTTCAATCTACAAAGTGGGCCTAGTTTTTTTTTTTTTTTTTTTTTTGTCCTTAAATTAATTTTTTTTTTGTTGAGCATTTGGAAATATATATTTTTTTTTAAAATTAACATTAAAAAAAACGAAGGTTGTTGACAAACTTTCGTTGAACTAAATGGTATGGGACTCCCTTTCCGGAGGTGCGATGGGGGACGGCAGGGCTGGGGTTGACGGCTGTATGCCGCGAAGTGGCATGTGGCCAAGCGGGTTAAAGGGGCCCTGCAATCATATTTAAGCATCTACCTTTTTTGCGGTTTCCACGTCTCTTGGGGTTCGGGGAAGCCAGCGGGCATGCAGAGAGTAACTAATAACTAAATATCGGTGAGTCATATTTTAACCGGACGATGCGGAAACCTCCTCCACCGACAAGGGTGACCCGCGGTACCGAAAGTGTGCGGTATGCGAAGTCTTTGGTCCTGGGCTTACTACTGGTCAGAGCTGCTAAAAGCTTCTTTTTAATTGAAATACAAAATATAAGTGGCGCAAACTGCTTCAATTATTTATAAAAGTAGATTTTGTTCAGTATTTTAGATCAGAAAAGAAACATATGCAGTTTATAAATTACGGAAAGAAGATATAACCCGTCGACATACCCGCCACCAAGCGGTGGAAAAGGCGGCATATACTAGAAAGGTGTAGTAGGATCAGGCACCGACGAGCGGCGAGCGTAGAAAGGTCCCGGATGTATGCGGTGGCGCTGCGGTCGTATACAGGCTCGAGGATCCGACCGGTTCCGAGCGTTCCAAAGGCCTTCGGCGAGCAGGTATGGCTTGCAGTTTGGCCGTTTGGCGTTACGGCACCGCCAAGTGTCTCCTGTTCTGAACTGATCTTTACCTTGTGCTTGCCGCTGTTCGTGGTCAATGAAGTGTCATGCTGATTTAGTGTTTAATCGTGCAGCAAATGCAATGCAAGCCGCCCTGGCTGCCTCCTTCATACAGCCTATCCAGAACATGCTTCAGTGGCACCCTCTCGAGCCGTCGACACTGAGTATGGCAGCCGTGAACGCTCGCCGAGCTCATTACCCCTCCTCTAGTTCACGGCCATTAAAGTGATCAAAGACGTCATGAAGATTATTTTTTGCTTGTTTTTGTAATTTTAATTTGCCTATAACTTTTAGAATAAAGCGAAATTGAAGAAAAGAAAAGTTTTATTAAGTTACTATGTTCAGTGTGCTCAGGTTCGGTGCAAATTAAAAACCAATAAAGAAAGTCCTTGCAGGGCTCCTTCAATAGTTTTGTAATAAACAACCACAGACTGTCGCCACGCGGCGGCGTGAATGCAGGCGGGGGTTGGCTTAACACACTCCCAACAGTGCTGAATATGGGGAGAGTTTGGCCAATGGGTGTGGCAACGAAGGCACCAGAGAGGAGAAAAGTGAGGGAAAGGGAGGAGAGTGCCGAAGGAACGAGAGAGAAAGAAGGAAGCAAAGAGGAGACGACCGCCATTTTGACGCAACGCTGAAGGTGCTGAGCACTGTTGAGGCTATGCGTCGTCTGCTACGGGCTTATTTCCTTTTCGCCTGAATAATAGTTTGCGTTCAGATGGGGAGAAACTTCATTCGTTAGCTTTTTAAGCCACCCAAAAATAACACTATATACAGAAACTCATCTCTGTCACGTCACCGCGCGGTGGTGGCGCGTCGGTCACACTTCCGGTCTGGGGCTGTGGGCAGAAGTCCCCATGCGAGACGTGTATTCCTGCGTTGTTTTGAAAGGAACCAGACAAAAACCTGCCTTCTCGTCAAAACGCCGCGACTGGCGCTGTACCAGAAGAATAGAGAAAGTTTAGAAGGTCAGTTTTCATGTGCTCGGTTCGTCCGAGAAAGTGGATATGTGCTGTGGAAAGGGAAAACCAGATGCCGTCGGACAGCGATTGCTTGGGCGGGAAGCACTTTGGATTGAATTCACGGATACTTCTGGTCATTAGATTTATTTGTTCTGTTCCAACATGAACGGCGGAAAACCGCGAAGTTGTACGGACCACCTGCGGACTACAAGTGCGTCTTCAAGTTCAAACGGCCGCTTAACTGTTCGAACTGTCGTCTGCTCTTTCAAACGTTTCTGCTTGTCGTCTGCTCTTTTAGACGACACCGGCCCGTAGACCAAACATGGGCCCGGTACTTGCGATAAGAAGAAAGTGCAGGCCTCAAAAGACTCAAGCTTGAAGGTTGGTAAGCAGGCTCTATGTAAACAGTAGATACAAGGATGTATTGATAATTGTTACCAGTGGCCATCACCAACTTGTTACGCCTGATTCACTTGGTCCGTTTCTGCTTAAGATTTTCAGCATCGACGTCAACCATCTCAGCTACGGTTCACGCTTTTGCAGGCCGATCGACGTCCCGACTGAAAATTGCAAGCGAAATATCATCATGCGAATCAGGCTTTAGCGTATACATTATGCGGCGTCCACGCGGAATGAATCGCCGCATGTCGCATTATTCACGCAAAGTTTTGCAGTGTTACGAGCCTCGGTAATTTTGCTGAGGCCGCTGAAGTAGTCAGAGATCGCCAGGAAGACGTAGAATCAACAATTCAAACGCGAAAAAGGGCAGAGGGACTCACACCGACGGCGATAACATCGCATTTCAATGGTTTGTTTATGGGCGACGGCGAGCTTCTTGCCCACACCCCTATTGCGCATGTGCGGCGCCTGTGGCGTCCGCTTGGGGCGCTCCGGTTTGTTTGTAAACATGAGTTGGTGTATAATTTTCTTGCCAGAGCCTGCCAAATAAAAGGAAAGAGCCGAAATTTGGATGTCGATCCCATGCATTCCGCCGGACGAATTAATGAAAATGGCGGCCCTCCCCGCTCGGCTGAGAGCAGCCGGGAATTCACGCGCATGCGCTCACGCCTCTCGCTGTGCGCCGCGGGCTGCTTGGCTCACTCGGGAGGGGGGCGTTACGGCAGCGAGATCCTAGACTGGCCAAACTCTCCTTATATGCGGCTCTGGCTCTCCAGTGATACACGCGCCATCCGAAAAGGGTGACCCAAATGGCAAGAGGTCTCCGCGAAGACAACTTTACGCTCCATCTACCCGCGAGTCCGTGGCAGGTGCTAAAGCCAGGACAATGTGTTGAGTGGAAGCGGTTAATTACTGGCGCGATCGTTGAAACGTCGTTCGAAAGCTTTGTTGTTCTCGGAGACTCTCGCTTCTCGGTAATAATTAATTTGCACGAAAGGTCTCATTTGGGCCACCATGGCAAAACAGGCCCGATTTAAATTGCAATTTAAATCAAACAACGGCAACGGGTGCCGTTGACCCCAGCGAGGTTACTGGATCATCTAACAAAATAAAACGACGCAAAAAAGAAAGAAAGACAAGGAACAAGAAGAGCACAGACTGGCACAGACACGAAGTGCCGGTGCTCTTCCCTGTTTGATCTTGCTAAGAAAGGCACCCGCTTGTTGAATAAGGAGAAGTCTAGAAGTCCCGGAACGTAAAATCGACCTCACCTCCAAAAGGTCGCTGTACAAGTGCTCAAGCGCACCCTCCGGGGCTCACGACCAAGGCTATAGTTGCACACGAGCCACCGTACTCACGACAAAAATTGGGGAGCGCCATGTTGGATGTTTTATGGCTTGGCATAGAAACGGCTTTAAAGTGGGCTACTACACACCAAACGTGTTAGAAAAAAGTCGTTTTGAAAAGTCAGTCGTGTATGTATTTTATTATTAGCATGCGTAGTTGCTCATGTGATTTTATACTATATCAAATATAGAATAATATGTTGGCTCTTTCAAGTAATGAGGGCCCCTCACCACGGCTGAGGATTTCGGCGCTACTCAAATGTCTGGGGGGTATCACAAGTTTGAGCAGCAAGAAACGCCAGAACCGAGGGCAGCAGTCGCAGCGGTTCGCACTTCGTTTCACGCCGAGAGGTTTCTCGACCAATTCAACCAACAGGTACTGTCCTCGTTAGATGCGTTATCCAATAAGCCGAAACTTAGGCAGAGGAGGAGACGCAGAGCTTTGAAATCAACTTCACAAGGCCCTGCTTACGGCCGTGGCTTTGTGTGACTGACAGCGTCAGCTGTTCGCGCTTTGTTTTAGAAACTTTGGATTATGTGCACAAAAGTACACAGGGTGCGCAGAGGTAATATAGTAATTTAGAGGGAAAGGTCTCGTGCATTAGGGCCGCTTGGGAACGACGGGCGGGGCATGGACGTGGAGATCGGCTGTGCTGATGGGCTCATATCGGGTGACAGACGTTCTTTTCTAGCTTACTTTGCAGCAAAACACGAGAATCGCGCACTGCATAAAACTAAGTAAGGTTGACAAGCGCGCAAGCAATTTCACCTCGTTGTAACAAAACGAACACGCTCAACCTTCAGTCTGGTTTCTCCGCTCTTCTGTCACTCTTTTTATTGTTCTTTCTTTCGGAACTGCCAATGTCAGCGCCCAGGTTTTGCCGCATTCTACTCTCCTCTTTACCCCCCTGACAGGTTGGGGGTGTTTGTGCCAATTGCGAGCCGCCATGACGGCTAGAGTATGCGGAGTGCAAGCTTGTCTGCTTCTTTTGCTGGGGTTGTGGTGATGTAAGAACGCCCAGCTCTGATTGGCTGTAATTAAAGAAAGTTGGTAGACCTCAAAGCAAGCTGCCTTGAGGTCTACCAACACCTCCTAGAAGACAAGGCCGTAGCGCTCTCCTCGTGACGTCTCAAAGGAAGGCCATCGGGGGCGCGCGTCGAAGCGAATGCAACACGCGTAGATCGACCGTCGTAACGCGTTTTTAGTCACATACGCGTGTCATATTAGCTCAAATGAAAGCTGCACATAGCAACAGGCCTAGAAAACATTTTATTACACGAGCAAAATATTACACCGCTAAATAATCGGTACGAAATGGCACGAGGTATGCGTACAAGACGTCTATAGAAAAATGTGATTGTTTTAAGTCGAAAACATTGAGTCATGCAATTATTGTTGTAGGAATGCATATTTTATACAGAAATACTTCGACAAAATGGCGAGACACGCAGTGATTTGGAAACAGCAAAACAGAACAGTTAAAAATCAGGTAGACGTGGTCAACGCGGACAAGGCAAGACAAGTGTTTCTCACGATCATGTAAGCGACGTTATTGCGTGCAGTCACTGAATTCTTGCATCATACCCCAGCCACATGGCAAAATTAATGCAATTTCGATCGAATGACATTGTGGGGTCGATAAATCCGCTTGCGGCGCTCGTATAACCACTCAAGACCGCGAGCTAATTAAATCCTATATCACTGAATGAAAATATATTAACTTTTCCGTGTGGCAGGGGTACTAAACTTACTACTTAGTCCACTAATTTACTTCTTCCTATGGGGCTCGAGCTGCCTTAGAACAACACCTAACTTATTTTGTATATAATAATACTATTACCTTAATACAGTTAAGATTCTAGTAAAAACGCGGAAAAGGCAATACAATAACTTTAGTATAAATAAACACAAAACCACGAACAAATGCACTTTCAATAATCACACAAACTTGTTTTTCACCTTCCAGTGAAAACAAGATTAGCGCGCATATTTACAAATGTCGACGAAACTGCACGCGAATCATGACAAAGAACAAAATTGGAATCTATCATGCGATTAAAAAAAAAAAAACGATTGCAGCATCTTACTTGCGTCCTACATGACCAAGAAAGCCCGTAAATAAGTTGTTTCTCACCTGTCGATCGTATCCATACGTCCCACAATATCCGTGACGTACACATTTGAACGCAAACTCCAAGAAGCCTGTCTCTGTCGAGAGAGGTCTATCGATTAATCGACCAGTCTTCGTTGGCTAGTTGTTACACATGTCACTCAAACCGAAGCAGGACTTGTTTCACAAATCCACGTAAATGCCGTAGTATCAAGCGAACACAAAAAAAACTACCTGAGACTACGGTGATGACAGAAATACGACGGGAAACAAGTCTCAAAAGTACCACACACGAGAGCAGCGGCGACGAAAGGCTTAACGTTGTCGACCCATCTCTTGCTGGTGTGCGCTCCCTGCGACAATGACTGGATTTCTTTTCGGTTTCCTTCCCTTCTGAGATGTCTCAGCGTTCCTTTTCAGACAGTCAGCAGCTCACACACAACGTAAATTTACCAGAATCGGAGCCATGTGGCATCGGCAGCATCGCAGCCGGTCCTTTCGAAAAGTGTGGGGTGCTGCGGAACTGCAGGTAGTCCCGTGGTTACGGGGATACTCATAAATATAAATTTGGTACTCTCAACCTTGGTAACGCGTTATATAATATGTTTATATTATATATATAATAAATTGTACAAGACTGCGCCTTTGAAACGTATATTAATGCCGGATAAACGCGCATGAACACCACCGCGCTGAGGTGCATTTTTTTCACGTCGATAGCGTATTCTCACGTAGTTGCGCCATGGACTTCCTTCCTCCGCCATTGTGACGTAACCTCTCAGAGCGCTCTGGCCTTCTTCTCTAGGAGGTGTTGGGTCTACCCACTATCCTTCAATCGGAGCCAACCAGAGCTCTGCGTTCTGACGCCACCACAACCCCTGCAAAGAAAATAGCAGACGAACTTGCTCTCCGCATTGCTTCCGGTTCTCTTGTGTTTACCTGGTGTTTGGGTGAGTGCGCAACGGCTCTGGGTTCTTTAGCGAGCAATTGCATGATAGCTACGCTCTAGGAATGTCCGTGTGTTGCACTTCTGAGTGGCCGACGTGTACCAGCAGGAAGAAAATATCACAAGTGAAGTTCCTTCGATTAATTGAGACGAGGGACGCCGCTGCCACCGGCGATCCCGGGTGACTGCAGGACAGCAGCATAGCAGACTGTGTTCGTTTACTTTGAGCTGCTGATGACAAATGATGCAATGCGAGGATGCGCCAACAGCGCCTCAACTGACCATCTATCTCTGTAGAACGATACATGCTGACCGGGCTATTGCAGCTCATAAATGCAAGGTGACACACTGCACTAGGAAAGAAACTTTTAATATGAAAGCAGGCAAGTCAAAGCATTAGAAAATTTTGCATTCCAGAGGCTCGCCTCATGCCGAACGAAGCGTAATGAAAACTTTAGGAAGATCGTCGGCTAGAACCAAGACCCAGCTTGGCTACCCCCGCGGGGAAACTCGGCGCATATCTTCGGCGCTTGGGGGAGGTGGGTGCCCGTTGCCGATGCTTTGCCGTTCACGAAGTAGTTGAACGCTTTTAAGGACTTGTAAGTTTTCAGTCATTCTCCGGTATATGGACCGGGTGGCTCGAATAGGTGGTCATGAAGATGTGCCCACGATACCTTCGGTAGATTTGTAATTTCTTTGAAGAACAACCACTTTTTCTTCTCATCCAAGGGGTGGGGAAGGTGTGTTGATCCCGTGTAAGTAAATTTCAGGTGGTCCTGGAGTTGGTCCTCGGCGGTGAGACTTTTAAGACATGCCCTAGTCACTGCAGGTCCTCAAAAACAATAGCCATCAGGAAGCAACGTACTCCCCTCTAAAGTATAGCATTGTTTCGTGTCACTTGAATCTGCGAAAACAGGGCGTGCTTGCCTGACTTTAGTTAAAACTTGTTGGCCTAGTTGGTTCATGATGCAGTCTAGAGGTTTTTTGCGCGACACAAGGGACGCTTGTCAGTGTCTACTCGCTTGTGATTGTCCCTTGTGTTGCGCAAAAAACCTCTAGGTTGGCCGACTTTGTTTGGGATATCAAATTTATTTATTTATTTGCATTGGGTCCTGCTGCGCCTGTTAGTGCATTATAGCAAGGAGAGGGTTACATAAGCGGGTATAAAATATACTTGGCGAATACGTCACAGGAAATGACGAGGATGGCAACAAATTCCAATCTCTACCTGTACGAACAAAAAATGGTCAAATCAAAATTTTTAATTACTCTCAGGTAAACAAAGACATAAATGTGCCTAAAGTTCCAAGAGAATGCCTGCCTCAGAGACAGCCCATCCCAATTTTCTGACTAAATATCTGTAACATAATTCCGAAACATTGCACCCACCCCCCCACCCCCCTATTCCTCCTTGAACGTCATGTGATGTCCGACGGGAATCGCATCCACCGCACAAACTGTTGTACCGGTATGTATGATAAGCATGTTTAGAGAGGGCTCCCACGTTTTTGTCTGCGACCTGCGCATGCAGTATCGATTCCTGTAACACCCGAGTTGGGCCCGCGTGTGTATTGCATCGTGAAATATGGTAGTGCTGCGTCCAGGATCTGTGGGGTTTATTCCCCTAACAAGTGAGTTTGTAGCGGATTCCCGCGTTTTCGTCCGCAATCTGCGCACGCGATATCGGTTCCCTTGACAGGCAAGTTTGTAACGGGTTCCCGCGTGCTTATTGCACCGTAAAACTTGAATCTGCTGCGTCTGCGATTTGCATTATTCATTCCCGTAAGATGAGAGTTCTTGGCGGGTTTCCGCGGGTCCTTTGCACAATAAAACGTGAATCTGCTGCGTCCACAACGTGCAGTATCCTTTCCCACTATACAGGAATTCGTAGCAAATTCCCGTGTGTTTCTCGCATCGTGAAACGCAAATTTGCAGTGTCCGCGATCTGGAGTATCAGTTCTCGCGTCACATGCGTTGTTTGTAG